CGCGCCGGCCGCCCGCGCCCCGGCGCACTCCAGCTCGGCCATGGAGCTGCCAGCTGTTGGCGAGCACGTCTTCGCGGTGGAGAGCATCGAGAAGAAGCGGATCCGCAAGGTAGGGCGGCGCGGGGGCGGCGGCGAGGCGGCGACGGCCGGAGCAGCCCGCGAGGAGGCGGGGAGGGGGTGGGGAGGTTGCGGGCCGGAGCCGGGGATCCCGCGGAAGCTGATGGAGTGCTGTCTCTTTCCCCCTCAGGGCAGAGTGGAGTATCTGGTGAAATGGAGAGGCTGGTCCCCCAAGTAAGTAGCGGCGGAGGGGCGGGGGAGCCGGGTGCCGAGGCGCAGAGCTCGCGGGCTCCGGACCCGCCGGGCTGGTGGGGTGGTGGGGGGAGCGGACGGGAGGCGGGGTGGAGGTGGGGTGGAGGGAGGAGGGGGTGGGGAAGTCGGTGGCAGGCACTGGGGAAGCCGAGCCGCCGAGCCCGAGCCCGGCGCCCTGTGTTGTGCTCCGCTCTCCGGGAAATGCCATCACTAATTTATGCGCTAAAAGGAGCCGGAGGAGCTGGAGAGACGCGGGGCCGAGCCGGGGAGGCCGGCGGAGGGAGGGAGGGCGCAGGCACTGACTGATGTGCAGCAGAAAATGGCTCCTTTCCCCTTTCCCTCCACCGAACGGCTCCATATTGCAAAACCAAAAAAAAAAAAAAAAATTAAAAAGCGACGAAAATGCAATTGTGTGCCTCTTCCCTCCTAGTGGTGCAGGGAGAGGGGAAAAAAAGGCAGAAAATGTTGAGAACTGTCACTGCGGCGCTTTTGGTGGGGAATTTTTTTTTTTAATTTGAAATGCGAAGGCACCGGATGGAGACAGACGCGCAGGCACACGCACACACACACTCACACACACAGAGAGAGGCATATTTTTGTGTTGCTGAGTATTTAGGGGTGCTTGCCCGTGACAGCGGGCTCCAGGGCCGCCAGGGGGTGTAGGGGGGGCCGCTTGGCTGACGGTTATCGGATTAGGGGTCAAATGGAAAACGGCTGAAGCCCTCGCGGAGACTCGGGGCTGGGGAGAGGAGGAGGGGACTGCGACTTTGCCTTTCGGCTGCTTTGCACGCAGGGTTCCTGGTGAGCAAAGTGCCTTTGGAACATATCGCAGTAACATGCTTAAAATTCTTGACAACTGCAAAATAAACGGCTAGTTTCATTTTCTTTACTCCTCCCCTTTCTTCCTGCCCTTGTGTGTTTACTTTGACTTGGAGGGGTGGTGTATCAGGGATCGTGTCAGGCCTGCAGAAACCTACCCTCCACCCCCCACATCCACAGCTAAATAGCTTTCGGTTCATGAAGACAGAGTAGGGCCTTATGTCATTGCCCACCTGGAGGCCGCAAAGCTGGCTCGGTTTTTTTACGCCGTGTTCCCCTCCCTTTTCCCTTGCAAGATATAACACGTGGGAACCCGAGGAGAACATCCTGGATCCCCGGCTGCTGATCGCCTTCCAGAACAGGTGAGCGTCCCCCAAGCAGCCGCCGCCTGCAGCCGTGACCGTATATGGGAATGGAAGAGTGGGCCACGCAGCAATAGGAAAGGGGGAAAGGGCCAGGAGAGGCCCAGGGGGAGCCCCATCCCCCTGACGGGCCTGAACGGGCACGGCAGCGGCCTCGGCTCCTCTAACCAACGTCCTTGGCGGTTGCTGCAGCCTGGGGGTGGGGGCGGGGCAGGGCCGGAGAAGGCGAGGCTTGTGTTTTAGGGGAACTGCGGGAAGGGTGTCTGGGGGTGGCCCTACAGTTGCCTGGAGAACTCGGGGCTGCTCCTGGTTCCCCGCGGGCCCCTCTCCCGTCTCAACTTGGAGCCCCACCCCCGGAGCCTAGGTGTTGCTTTCCTGCAGCCACTGGCCGCTTGGCACCAGCACCTCGCTGGGCAGCTCCAAAGGAGCTGGCATTGTGAAACCGCTGGACGTCACGAAACTGAACTTAACCTGTTGGGGGCTGGAGAAAAGTTGACGAGGCCTTAAGCCCCCACCTTCACCCCCCAGGGAGCTTGGGATCGGCAGGGGGCCGATTCTGTCTGGCGCTGGGTGCCCTTCACACCCCCGCTGGGCCACTTGGTGGGTCTTGGCCCCCAGCCTCAGGGCAGGGGGAGCTTGGCTCAAAGGATGTGGGATGGGCGCTGCCTGGTGGTGGAGGGGTGGCTTCTGACGAGGGGTTCATCCTTGTGCGCACAGATGCTTGTCACGCTGCAGCTGCTGCAGCTGGATTCACCGCCGGTTCCTCTCTGTTTCGGGGAGGACAGAAGGGGGAAGGGCGGGTAAGGAGGGGAGGAGCGCCAGGAGCCCGCGGAGCTCGGCCACCCCGCTGCCTTCCATTCTCCCCTCCCCCTTTTATTTTGCATTATTTCCTGTGGCGTGTTTGGCGCTAAAACTGTAAACTCTAGACCCTGGGAGCGAGCGACCATCGGGGAAGTTGCTCTCCCTCGACGCAGGGGGGCGCCGTGAAGGGATCCTGCTCCAGTTCCACCTGGGGGTTCACCACTGTGTAACCATGTCAGTGGCTGATGCCATGTTGCATAATGGGTCCCCAAAGAATTAAAATGCAGGTTGTTGCAATGCCATGCAACTTCAGAGTCAGGCCCCAGCCTGGGGTCCCCGGGCATGGCGGAATTCCCCTGGGTTAGCCCACGGGCAGGGGGTGGGGTGTGCCTAGGGTCGCTGGAGAGCGGGTTTCTGACCCGGAAATGGGCTGCAACTTTGGCCAATGCTAGAGAGGCACCCCGTTTTCCCATGGAGGGCCTGGCAGTGCTGAGACGATCCGCCCCCTAGCCTCGGGTCACCCTCGGCCAGGCCGCAGGGGGAAGCCTGGCAGCTGTATTGATCCGAGCCACCGCCCGTGGGCTTTATTAATGATTTGGACATTGAGGCAGCCGGGAGCCGGGCTCGGTGAGGAGGCTGCTCGTCTGCGCACCGCCCCCGCCCCGCCCCGCCCCGCCGCGCCCCGCCGCTCCACCCGGAGCCAGTTCACCAGGTGGCTGAGAACCTGGCCAGGCCCTGGCCTCGGCGGCTGGCCCCCGCCCCCAGCGCCTAATTGGCTCATTTGCCACTGTGTAAACAAGGGCGCAGCCCCACCCCCTGTTTAGTGCCTGGCCTTTAAGAAAATGAGTCCTCCCTTCTGCCGGCGGCACTCGTTATCTGAATCTTAATGAGGTCATTAGCATCCTGTGCTTCTGACGGGGAGGGACGTGGTCTGCCCACACCTCATTTGGACTTGTTTGCGTCCCCTGCACCCCCACGAACACTCCACTTTGCGCAGGGCTCCGGCCCAAGGCTGTGGACACCGGTGCTGGCAACGCAGCCCCGAGCTGCCGCCTCCCCAGGATAGAGGCAGGGCTGCGGGGGCGCCAGTTCGGATGCGGACGTCAGAGGTGGGGGAGCCCTTCCTGGAGGAGCCCTTGGGCAGATAAGGGTCGGTTCGAGCATAAAGCGGGGCTCTGGGACCAGACCGAGGCGCCCAGCTGGCGGCAGAGGCAACCTTCTGCCCTGAGCTCTTGATCTCTCTGGGTCTTGCTGCTCCCGAAGGGGGGGCGTCGCCGCAGGTTCCAAGCCTAGCAGGAGGGAGGCGACCCTGAGGCTAATAGCGCTGCCCTCTGTTCCCTCCCCTCAGGGAACGACAGGAGCAGCTGATGGGATATCGGAAGAGAGGGCCGAAGCCCAAACCGCTGGTAGTGCAGGTGAATACACTCGCTGGCCCTGGGGCTGCCCCCAAGTCTTTCCCTTGATATTGCCACCTGAGCTGCCTCCCGGCCGGACGGGG